ATTACACTGCACCTACTTTCCCTTCAAAATGAGCTATAGATTAGCTGAAGGGAAGGAAGGTTCACTATCATTTTTTTTTACACTACAAATCAATCATTTCACAACAAGCTCTAATGTCTGCCATTTAAACTACATCGTGCAGGAAAATCTTTTATGAATCGATTTAGACCATCACTTTTCACTAAAACACACACACAAGAATAAATCTCACCACCTCCAATGTCTTTTCCGCTACCAAAGCTTGGAAAGTAAAAAATAGAAACAGAGTAACAGATAACATATTTTTACCTAAACTTGTGTAATCCTCAATCAAACAAATGAACTAAAAAAGATTTTTTAAAAATAAGACAGAGAAACTAGAAAACCTACTAGATATTGAAAAGTAAGAAATGACTGCTCCTTAGCCTTGAAGACATAGCTCTGTGACTATCTTTTATGCTTCTGTAGCACCTTCCCCCCAGCTGCTTATCCTTCAGATTCACCTGGTGGATTAATTTATAGACGAAAGGCCAGAGATTTGCTTTAGGATATTCAACAGGTGAATGAAACAGGGTTGGTCATGTGCTAATAAAAGTTGAAAACAGAAAAACTAACAAATGAGGCTTTATTATACTGTGTTCATTTCTCTAGTTTTTGCATATGGTTGAAAGTTGTTCTAAGGGGAAAAAAATGTATCATACACATAAAAAAATCCTGTCTAAAGCCGGGCGTGGTGACTCATGCCCGTAATCCTAGCACTCAGAAGGCTGAGGCAGGAGCATCACTGCGAATTCGAGGCCAGCCTGGGGTACAAAGTGATTTAAGGCCAGCTTGAGCTGCATGGTGAAACCCTGGGTCCTCAAAAAAAAAAAAAAAAAAAAAAAAAAAAAGAAAGAAAGAAAAAAACAAACAAAGAAGAAACAAAGAAACAAAGAAAAATAAAAAGTCCTGTCAAAGGTACTTAAGTTTTGGTTTCACTAAACCACCCAAAATTCTACTTTTTTCTTGTGTATCTGGTTTATTAGTAACTTCCATTCGCCAAACAAATTAATTTCCTCCAACGGACTAAAAACGAAAATCAAGAATCTTTTAATTCCACTCATCAGGTAAGTGCTAAGTGAAGAAACAATCTAGAATTCCAACTTATGATTAATCATATTATTTGATTTCAAGATAATTTACGTTTTGAGTTAAGACGATGAAGCAGCACAGGGCTTATTTTAAGTTTACCTCACTCTTTCCTAGTATTAAACAAAGTTTGGTGGACAGTGCACAAAGGTGGAAATGTAACATATGTTCACTCCCAGGAAATAAACTTTCTCATAAGAGAATAAAAGAACTCAATCAAACATAACACAAAGAAATATTCCAAAAATCTCCGGGAAACCCACATACTCCTTGACAGTCGCCCCACAAGCCTTTCAAGTGTTAGAACGCAGCGAGCCTGGTTGGCTGGTTTCATCTCCTCCTTTTTCAGGGGAGGTGCTAGAGAGCAAAGAAATGACCAAAAGACAGGCCGGAAGGAGGAGAGCAAAACGCATGGAGTCCGGACAATCTTAATAATGTGAAAAGTGTGTCCGAACTAGATTAAGTGACCAGGGAATGAGCGGCTACGCAGGCCCAGTAACTCCAGCGTTCCTAAGCAATCCAGCGGACAAAACTCCCTGCTCTTGCCCAGGTCTTCTCAGGTACAAAGGCATAAAAGAACTCTTCCCGACCCTCGCCCACCAAGAGTGCCAAAACTCGAACTCCGTACCCACCCGGACCCGCAGGCCGAGGCGCTCCGGCCCGGAAGGTGGCCCTCGCCAGTCCTCGCTCGGGTTCGAGGCCGGGACCCTCTCCACAGACCCGAGGCGGGGACCAAGGGACGGTGCGACTCGCCGTCGCCAGGCCCTCCGCGGCCGCCCGCCCGCGCAGCCCTGGGGTCCTGGATCCGCACCGCCCACTCTAGGCCCGGAACGGCGCCCCGAGAGGGTCGTCGCCAGCCTTGGCCCGGATCCTTCTCCGCGCCCGCGGGACCTGAGCCCCCGGTACGGCGGCGGCCGCGGCCATACGGACGCACCCACTGCCTACCTGTCTTCACTCTTGTTTTTCTGTTTCTTCCCCATGACTTGTCAGCGGCGTTCGCGGCCCGTAGTCTCGCTACTCGGTCTGTCACAGAGCCACCGTCCCCTGGCCGACTTTGGGTTCCGCTCAGCTCGGTCCCTCCGCACTGCCACCTCTCGCACCCGGCTCTCCACAGACCCGCGCACTGGGACAGGGCACATATGGTGTGAACCCTCAGTGCGCAAGCGCATCGCCCCGCCGCCTCGGCGTGGGGACGCAGGACGCGGCGCATAGAGAGCTGCGCTTGGAGTAGAGCGTCTCCGGTACACACTCTGGCCCGGCAGGAGCCCGAGCGCCCTCTGGCTGCAAGAGTTCGCAGCGCACCAACGCTCCCCTGGTTGCCAGATTCTAGAACACAAGAGATAGACAATGAGGCCATTCATTCTCCGCTTCACGCCTTTTCCGCGAGGAATGCAAGCTTCGGGGACTGGCTGTCGGCTGAGAAGTGGGCATGAGACTTACTTCCTATAGGCATTTAGATTCTCAGCCGCATCATGTTTAGTAAACAACCACCGTGAACCAATGATGAACCCTCTGAAGTTCAGGAAGAAGATGAAGCCAGAATAAAATTGGAACCTCTGCGGGACAACCATACATTACAAACTGTGTACACAACAAGGAAACATACAACAAGGCCATCTCCATCCATTCCCTAGTATGGGGCTTAATCCTCACATTTAAAGCAAGAACAAGTGCTTAAAATTCTCGTGCTAGGGAACCCACAAAGGAAGCTACTGGATGGTGTAAAGGTTCTGGGTTTTTATAACATATGGAACACATAGGAGGAGGAGACCAGCAGAGACCACCAGGCTTGTGTAACGACCACATTGTGTCTGGGTACTGGCAGGCAGAGAGCTTGATAGGACTGTCTGCAGTGAACAAAGAGAAGTGTGTTTCTTTCCTAAAGATGGAGAGGCGGCAGCAGAGGACATTAGGTGGAAAGATCCTAATAAACATTGTGGTCAAAGTTCCTTGGAAGTCTTACACCTCCGTGGGCAGAGTCCTTGAAGTGTCTGGTGTACACTCTCGGGTGTGTCCAAATGTTCCCAGATGTCCCCAGGACTTGCAAAATTTCTTGTCCTATCTTGTCTCCTCCACAATATCCTGTGCTGCTGATGACAACCTGTTGAACTGAATTCTCTGCTGAGAGTAGTGCTTTTGCTGGAAAGCAGGCTAGGGGCCTGGTGAGTCAGGTCTGGTTGGAGCCTTACAGATAGTAAAAGGAACATTCCTCATTTAATGACCAAGTCTCTTTCCTGAGACCAGATGAACTGGTTGCTACAGGAGAAACTGTATACAGCATTTATATTATAACGCTATAATCAAAGGAAACTCCAACATGATAACTTTGCTTTTATTTGCTTTGTTACAGGGAGCTGAGTTAGTTAGAAATATAGGCAGCAGACAGGGCTGGGCCCTCAAAGGAGCCAGTGCAGAAGGCCAGATACCTTGCACATTTGGAGGAGGTGGGCCAGATCTCAAGACAAAAATCAAAACAAAACCACATCCAAAATATAAACATCAGGGATTGATACTCTAAATAGGTATGGATCACCTTGAGGAAGCCAAGAGTCACCATCCTTACCCCTTACAGGGAGAGTCACTGCCCTTTAAGCATTCCCGCTTGCTGCATGACTCACTTCACCCTTTTCTTCTTGATTTGGTCAATTTTACCTGAACAATTAATCTTATTGGTTGACCATAGTTCTGTCCCACCTCATACCTATCTGCCTTTCGAGTTCCTATGTTTTTCCCCATCTTGGACCCATCTCACCTTGAGATTTTACCGTGTAAAACTCCCTAGAAAAGACAGAGCCTTTGGCAACCCACTCGGAACCCCTTCTGGCTCTGACATAAGCTTTCTTTCTCTCAATAAATATATTATGCTCTTCACCTCCGTTGTTTCTAAAATTCATTCTTTCATTTTAGAGAACACGAACTCGGCTCGCACATCTAGTAGGTTGGGAGTTTCATTCCCCTATAACAGCGCCCACCGTTACATGCAGCACTGTAATGTAAAACTACAGTACTGTACGGTACAATCAGCTAGAAATATACTACTGTACAAACAAGTTGCGCTGCACAAAAAAGACATTGAGGCTCTATCAACAAGATGTACAAAACTGTACAAAGAAAAGGAAAGAAAGAAACCCATGGGTGGTTAAGTCGGAACAGTCGCTAAACAGGTAGGTCGTTAAATGAGGCAAGGATGTGTTAGGAGAGTTAAAGATTATTTAAAACCTCATTGTGCTGCATAAGTTATCTCAAATTTAGTTAAGAAATATTATAGAACGTAAATGTTCCGTTCACATGTTAACGAAGTTCAAGTGTCAGCCCTGAGCAAGATTCTTGCTATCGCGTTTCCCATGTTATGAGTAATGACCAGTGCCTAGGAAGTCCAGTAACTCTAGCCTAGGCATGAAGAAACTACAACTCCCAGCATAACTTAATCTCTTTCCCGCGGAACTATTTTACCCGGAGGGAAACAAGGTGCGCAAGCACAGTACCATTCAGTGCACGCCCCCATAGTTTCCTCTCTGGTCGCACATTGTGTCGCGAGAGAATCCTAGCCAATAAGGAGGAGGGGGAGAGGCCGATTAGCAGTTGCCTGCAGCTGCTGCGATCCTGAAGACAGTTTTCTAGTGCTGCGTCTTTTTCATTTGTCAGGCATTGCGGAGAGTTCAGGTGAGACAGTGGATGGCAGCATCTGCGGCTGCCGCGTCCCGGTAATGTTGAGCCACATTGGCTCAACATTAGGCTGGGTCGAGGGAAGGGTGCGGCCCTGACGCCGTTGTCTGTGCGGCGGCCGAGGCTGTTGCGCATGCGCCCCAGGAGGCCGTGAAGTCAGGGGTCTCCCGGAACTGCCCTTATCTGTCCTCGGGGATCCGGGGAGACCAGAATACCGTTAGGAATATTCCTGGGGGAGCATTTAGGGTCCAGGCCCTTGGTTGTGTGGGCGGGTTTTTGTAGAGGAATCCAGAAATGGTTAGGGAATTTGACACGCGGTGTCCTTTTCCATCGTTATACTTGATCTGTAAAAAGAATCTGAAGCTATAGTTTGAAGAATGAAAAGTTACCAGTGCCACGACACCGTCTCCTTGGCCCTTCCTGAATACAGTGGGCCCCACCCTCTGCACCCACAACAGCTCTTGCTAATCACCTCTGTTCCCAGTTTCTCAGTTAAATTCTGGGCTCTTCCTGTAGACCTCGAAGGGTAAGCTTCCGCTGCGCTGTAAAAGCAGGTTTTGACCCTCTTTTACTAGTCGCATCCTGTGCCCACTCCCAGGGTGGCAGTCCTATTGAGTTTCTTCTTGGTGGATAAAGAGTATGAAAATCTGCTATTTTTAAAATAGAGCTGCTTTTCAATTGCATAGCATTGATGATGAGCTTATAGTTTGTTTTTTTTTTTAACTCAAATACTTTTGTACTTAATAATTTGAACAGAAACTTAAGCATGTAAAGTGTAATTTTAAAATACAGTGAATTTTTAAAATTTTTAAATGTATTACAGTAAAAGACATATTACTGTGAATCCCCCTCAGAATTCTTCCCTTCATTTCAAACGCATTTACCCCCACGTTCTTACCATTTTCTGAAGCAGTTCTGGAAGTCCTTCCTTGGTGTCTGTTTACACTGTAGTAGGTGCTTGGATCCCTGAATTGACTCAAAATAGTTATCTTGCCTGGTCATTTTGATTTTGGGGAGAAAGAGCCAGAAGTCAAATAGTGAATAAGTGGATCAGAACACACTATTTGTTTTGTTTTGTTTTGTTTTGTTGAGACAAGATCTCAAGTGCAGTTCAGGCTGGCTTTGAGCTCATTTTGTAGCCCAGACTGGTCTCAAACTCATAATGCAACAATCTTCCTCTCTCAGCCTTCCAAGTGCTGGGATTACAGACATGTGCCACAACTCCCAATATTATACACTGTTTTGTTTTCATTTGATACAAATTGCTGTAAACGTTTGATCAATACAGGGTGATCATAAACTATGGTGAATACTTAAATTTAAAAATTTGCTATAGTAAAATATATTCCCATTAATTCTCCTCACTTTCCCTCCCCATCCCCCAGACAAGGTGTTGCTGTGTAATCCAGGCTGACATCAAACTCAAGGCAATCCTCTTGCCTGAGCTTCCCAAGTGCTGAGATTACAGGTATGTGCCACCATAACGGCTTCTTACCCTCAGCTTAAAGCTATTCCTTCATTCTTGGCGGTGTGCCTTCTACTTTAACAAGATTTTTAAAATTTAAACACTCGCCGTATCCTTTGATGACTCCTTGTATGTTCATTCAACATTGAATGCAAGTATGAAATGAATTATGCTTTCTCTTGCTTTTTCTATAAGGAAAATGGCATCAGGAGTAAAGTTTGCAAGAATAATATTTCTATTCATATCAGCATTTATAGAAGGTCTGTGTGTCCAGGTTCAGAGTTAGAGTCTCAGTGAATGAGTTCATAGTTCATTCAGGTTTTTAAGGTGCTTTAGTAGGATTTGCCAAACTATAGTTTATTGAGGTGCAACATCTTCCTGTTTTAAAAGGCAAATTATAAATCATTTCTGTGGCAATACCCCAAGAATATACATAAAATTGCTCTGTTGCCAGTAGAAAATACTCCATTTATTGAAAAATATGTAACAGAGATCTTTTGTCTAATCTGAGGTCTGTTTTAAAATCTAGGTTAAGGGCCAGGGATTTAGCTCAGAGGCATAAGCGCCTGCCTGGCAAGCTCAAGCTCAAGGCGGTCTGTTTGATCCTGATACCAAAAATAAATAAAACCTAGATTAAGCCAGGTGTGGTAGTGCATGTCTGTAAATCCCAACACTCGGGCAAGGCAGGAGGAAAGTTCGAGACCAGCCTGGGCTACAAAGTGAGCTGAAAGCCAGCCTGAATTGTATAGCAAGACCTTGTCTCAAAAAGACTAAAAAATAAAAAATTAATTTAAAAAAAACCTAGATTGCACAAAGAAATATAGTACTTCTCTTTTTTGTGTTTGTTTTGTTTTTTTATTTTGTTTGGTACTAGGGATTGAACTCATGACCTTGCACTTGCCAGGCAGGTGCTTGTGCTGCTGAGCTAAATCCCTGGCGCACTATATAGTATCTCAAAAAGTTAGCCAGAAGTGACCCCAGCATTCAGGAAGCTGAGGCAAGAGGATCATAGTGAGTTCAAAGCCCACCTAACTCTGTCTCAAGAAAAAAATTTTTTTCCAAAAAGTATTTGAAGTTTTACATCAAAATTAAGAGCATTTGCAGGGCATGGTGGTACACGCCTCTAATCCCAGCATTCTGGAGGCTGAGGCAGGTGGAATATTGTGAGTTGGATACAAAATGAGGTCAAGGCCAGTCTCAAAAAGACAAAAACAAACAACAACAACAAAAAGACACTGACTATTATTAGTACAATGAAACCAGTGTCAATTTTTGGAAGTTTGTAGGTTTTGGTGGGTGGTAGAATAGGAGTGGGCAGACTCCTTGGAAGTGATCACAGAAAAGGTGTCTGTTGCTCAACTCACGGAAAGCCCAGTAGTTACACCCGCCCACTGGAAAGCCGTTTTTCTGCTTTGCTTCCTTTTTCCTTCAGTAAAAACTGATTATCAGCACACAGCCCTCATACAACTAAACTGGTTTCTCTGTGGTCTGGCGATGTCCTTAAAGATTTATTTTGGCTTTAGTATGGTAAAGTAAATCAGAGGCACCTAAAATTTGTTGTAAGTGGTTACATTTTAGTCCTCAATTAGAGTTTGATTTAAAAAAAAAAAAGTTTCTGTTAGTTATAACATGTTCCCACTAGCTTGAGACTGGAAGCACTGTGTGCATGAGCATCCCATTGGGCGCTGGTAGCACCTGATGGGATTGTCCTTGCCATCTGGTACCCTTGGTAGTTCCGAGCTGCTTGGCAGTGAGACATCTAAATTACAGCCCCATTGTGAACACGTTCAGTTACATGTTCAGTTACGACCAGCTCTGGTTTCTCTCTAGTTGGTTATGGCTAAAACATGAGGTTTAACTCTTCTGAAATTTTGGTGTGACTCTAACCTACTGAAAATTAAACTCAGAAACACTTAAATAAAAATAAAGATTCATAAGCATAGCCGGGGCATAAGCACCTGCCTGGAAAGTACAAGATCCTGAGTTCATTTCCTGGTACCAAAAAAAAAAGATTCATAAGCATAAAGCAAGTCCTTAGCTGTTGGCAGAATGCTCTGCGGAATACAAGTAACTAGAGAGAATATCACTGCTTCTTGTTGTTTTAAATCTTTTCCCCAGCACAAAAGCTGAACCGTACCACTTAGAGGAATGGAAGCAGACGCATCTGTTGACATGTTTTCCAAAGTCCTGGAGAATCAGCTGCTGCAGACCACCAAACTAGTAGAGGAACATTTGGATTCCGAAATTCAGAAACTGGATCAGATGGATGAAGATGAATTGGAACGGCTCAAAGAAAAGCGCCTGGAAGCCCTAAAGAAAGCTCAACAGCAGAAACAAGTAATCTCTCTGCCCTGCTTTCTGAAATTGCTGTAATAGTATGCGCCCAACAGCTTACATATGCACATGCACTACTAGTTACATTTGGGCCTTTGGTTCTAGAATTTTCGGAATTCAGTTTCTGTCATTGTCAACCGTTTGTCCAGGAAGCCTCAGGTGTAGCTCAGTAGTAGAGTGTTGGCCCAGCATGTGCAAGGCCCTGGGATTAATCTCCAGCACCATTTAAAAAACAAAAAAAAAAACCAAAAAAAATTAAATTTGTCCAGAAAAAAAAATTAGGGAAGATGTGATATGTGAAGGGCTGACTTACGGAAGAGAAATTAAAGCTTAAATTTTAGCCCAAGCTGAGATCTGCACCACACTTGTGGCTGGGTGCAGTTCTGTGTAAGACGACCTTTCTGAAGGTGATCTAGTATGGGTACAGACACTTTATAAGCACTGAGTCAGGCACATTCAGGCATTCCTGTGTAGGGTGCATTTCCATTTTCACGACAGCCCAGTGAGATAACCGCTTTGTCGTGTCCACTGTGAAGATGAGGAACTGAGGTTCAGAAAGGCCAGTGGCATTCTTGGCCCAGTAAGTGGTGGGCTAGGTATTGGAACCTGTGCCTTCAGCCTGTGTGGTCAGGTCTCATTTTTGCTAAAAGCAGCAGCCTAAAAAGTGGACCAAGCTTCCTGCTGCGGGAGCCATTGGAAGAGGTCTGGCAGGCAAGACTGTTGAGGGCTTCTGGTATTGGTTAGGGAAGTGAAAAGAGATGCAAGCTCCCCGTCTTGGACCCATGTGAGCAGACTTTTTCTTCTCAGGACAAGGTCTCTTGGTGACATGCATGGCATGACCCTCAGAAGCAAAGGGGCCCCCAAGCTCTGAGCTTCAGTCATCTCTCTCTGTCTCTGAGACTGACTGGTTTCTGCTTCTTTTGGTTTTGGTATTTTGGTGTTTTGGTTTTGGGTTTTAGGTGTTTTTTGTTTCTTGTTTTGCTGGGGAGGGAACACTGTTTTTAAAAGCTTTGTATGACTTGGGTGTAGCTCAGTGGTAGAACATTTGCCTGACCTGCACAAGGCCTAATTTTCAATCTCCAGCACCACAAGAAAAAAAGAAAAAAATCTTTGTTTTCTGTTTTGTGTTGCTTTTTGGTACCGGGAATTGAACTCACAACCTCACACTTGCTAAGTAGGCACTTATGCTGCTGAGCTAAATCCTCAGCCCAAAAATCTTTGTAATAACTTAAATCAGATGCTTCTGATTTTAGTAGTTTAAGAGCACACAGACACCCATAAAAGCAGGGTGAAGTGGTGCTGACCTGTAATCCCAACACTCAGAAGGCTGGGTAAGGAAGATTGCTATGAGTTTGAGGCCATCCTGAGATACATAGGAAGTTCAAGGCCAGCCTGAACTACATAGCGAGACCCTGTCTCAACCAAAAGAAGAAAAAGAAAAGGAATAAAGGGAATAAAGTTTCTCAACCAGATAAAATTGACTTGATTACAAAATAATTGTGACACTTAACACCAAGTAGTGCTGAATGAAGTATACCACATCTGTAATATTTTACTTCCATCCACATTAGGAATGGCTTTCGAAAGGACATGGGGAGTACAGAGAAATCCCTAGTGAGAGAGACTTTTTTCAAGAAGTCAAGGAGAGTAAGAAGGTGGTTTGCCATTTCTACAGAGACTCCACGTTCAGGTAACTGTGTCCCCACCCTTTCCTAAAGCAAAGGAGATGTTTGCACAGAGATACATTGGCTTGGTAGAGACATTTAACCACTACCCAGTCCCATTATTTAAATACAGGATGACTAAAAGTTGCATATTTTTGGTTACTTTTTATGTAACAGGAAATACAAAGATGACTATAAAATAAAGTCTGTTAACATCAGATTTACTCAATTTTTTGTGTGTGGTATATCTTAAAATATTCAACACACAATGTAGTGTCATAATCTGGGCAGTGTTATCTGGGCTCTTTCCAGATTCTTTTTGCATTATTGTCTGTCTTTGAACAACACACTGTAACTGTTGTGTGTTGGTCTTTCCTTCTGCAGGTGGGTATAATTTTAATGAAATGTCTACCTGCTAAGCACAACTAAAGACATCAGTGGACATACTGGTTGACATTTTGTTATCCCATATTTTTCCATTATTTGGTCTTTTAGACCTAAAATCTAAATTATAAATGACTTTTTAAACCTTGTTTTGAATAAATAACAAGTGAATTCCATACCACTTGGTTCCAAAGGTGCATAAATATTTTTAAATAGCATTTTTTACAGAATAGCTTGTTAGATGTTGGTCATCTAGCAACACCACCCATAGAATTAATATAATCGTTGACCACTGTTGGACCTTTTTTAGTTTCATTTCTTCTTTCAAGTTCTATCATTTCTGTATTGTAAGTTGTTGACAAGGCAACATCTTTAAAAGTCTTTCCATTTCACAAACTTTTCTTCTCTGGTACACTAACATTTCTCCCTTTCTTAGTTTCTCCTTTTGCAAATTTTGGTACTTCAGTCTCAGAGTGCCAGTGACTGTTTTGTATTGTAAAAGAATATCACCGAGTTCTGAGAGGGGTAAAGATTATATCTAATGTACTTAGGATAAGAGGTGCAGAGCACAAAATTATAGGTTATTTTTCACACCAGGAAATAGATATTAATTAGTAAAATAACCATAACTTGTTAGATTTCATTAGAAGCAAATATCTAAAGCAAATACAATGTTCTGAATAAACCATATGCAAAGAATAGTCGATATAAAACAGATGTACGAGTGTATCTTGTGCAAACAAGAATCAGCCAGGTGCAGTGACGCCTGCCCAAGCAGCATTGAGGGTCGTACTGGAAACTGCTAAGTAGTTAACCAAACTGAAAGGAACAACTCCCTCAGCTGTGTCCTTGGTGCCCTGTGAGCTCTTTAATGTTCTGCCAGCCTATTAACCTATGGTGGCTTAAAGGCCAGGGACATGCAAATAAACGGTGAGTACTATAGACAGTCAGTAATACACTCCCATGTAAGTTGCTTGTATTTCTTGAATTAATTTTTTGGTAATTCTGAGAACATCTTAGAAATGTGTATTTAAAATTCTGGCCAGAAAAATTCTTGGTGCTTTTTCTCCTACTGAGATAACAAAGCCACGATATGGGGAACTGAGGGGAGAGCAGTGGCTTTCCCAGCTGGTGTCTGCCAATTCATCCCTCCCTGGGTTTCCTCTATGAGATAAAATGGAACAGGCTGAAGAGAATCGAAACTCTAATGTTTGGTCCTTTACTGTGATGTTGCCAGCCTGGGAACCTTTATGACATAAAGCCTGTGTTTAAGTATTTTGGCATTGCGTTTTAACAAATACCATTGAGGCAAATGTGACTTTCTAGAATGCTAGCGTCTATGCCTCTCATATTACTTATGATTTTGAGGTGAAGTCATCTGATACAAGTACAAGCTGGCTGCCAGCAAACAGAAAACTATAAAATCAGATGCACAGTTGTGTTTATTTTTAAGTCAGACATGGTGATATGCACTTGTCATCCCAGCACTGGAGTGCTGAGGCAGGAGGCTCACCGTGAGTTAAATGCTCCCAGCTTCAACCGCATAATGAAACCCTGTCTCAAAAATCAAGACAAAATGAAAATTTCTTTTTAAAGAAGTCTCTTGCTTTGTTTCTTGACATCTACGTGTTTTTACCTGTAGATGTAAAATATTAGACAGACATCTGGTGATCCTGTCCAAGAAACATCTTGAGACCAAGTTTTTGAAGCTGAATGTGGAAAAAGCACCCTTCCTGTGTGAGAGACTGCGTATCAAAGTCATCCCCACACTGGCACTCGTGAAAGATGGCAAAACACAAGATTATGTGGTGGGATTCACAGACCTGGGCAATACTGACGACTTCACCACAGAGACTTTGGAATGGAGATTGGGCTGTGCTGACATCCTCAATTACAGGTGACTTCAGCCGGACAACACATTCATCTTGTCTGCTCTAGGGCTAGGGATATAGCTCACTGTAATTAGCACCTGCCTAGCAAGCACAAGGTCCTGAGTTTGGTTTCTGGTCCCCCCCCCCCCCCGCAAAAAAAAAATAGTATAGTCTTGTCTACTCAACTTTTTTTTTTTTTTAAATATCTTAAGATTTATGAAATTAAGGCCTGTGGCTGAGACAGTTTCTACGGAAAAGCATTATGCTTTAAAGAATACATTAGTGCAATCCTGTGACAAAATTTGATTTACAGATAAAACTGAGTCTTGAAGTATACCTGATTGTAAAGTTTTTCAACTTAGAAGATACATTTGAAATTAATTCTGTGTCAACCTGGTAACCCAGAGTGAAACTTAGAGCAGATTCTTCTCAGCCCCTATATCCCCCGGGACTGGGGGTTGAACCTAAGACTTCACACACTCTATCGGGGGTGAGCACTCTACCACCCCAGCTACCCCTGGCCCCGCTTCTGCAGTATAATGCTGACTTAAGTGATTCTCTTTGATAAAATTAAATATTTAAAACACATTTCTGAAGGTTATATTTTTATTTTGTGGTGCTGGAGGTCTGAGCCAGGGCCTTACACATGCCAGGCAAGCACTTTACCTGGGAGCTATATGCCGATCCCTTAAGTTTATATTTTAAAATATAGATCTGACATGTAGAATCTGAAAAGCAAAAGGTTTCTCTTACTGTGGAGGATAGTCTCAGCTGGAAAACAATATGAAATTCAACTTGTATTTCTTAAGTAATCTTTGTCTGAAATTCGTCTGTAGTATCTTATGTTCTGTGCCTGTTCTTTTGTTTCTTTAGTACTAAGGATTGGACCCAGGACCTCAGCCCTGAGCTACATCCCCTGCTCCTTTTTTATTATCTTGAGGCAGAGTCTTGCTACATTGCTTAGGATGAGCTTGAATTTGCAGTCCTCCTGCCTCAGCTTCTGTGATTGTTCTTGTTTGGAAAAGTAACAGGTCAAATTGTGCAGTTTTCTTTCTAGTTGTAGTGCCTTTCTGTTAGTAGAAAATTCATTTTTTTCTCTCCCACTTCTCATCCGCTTTTTTTGAATCTCTTGACAGGGAGCCACAGGAAATTATTAAAATAAGAATTATTATGTCATTTACATACCTTCAAATGTTACCATCATCCCATTAATGTCCTTTGGATTAGTAATGTTCTCCAACTCCCCATACTCTGTCTTTGGTACCTGTTAACCAGAGATCATGTGCTCCCCACATACACACGTTTCATTTTGTTTTGCTTTCCAAGACTGACGTTTTCCGTCTCTTGTGTTTGGTTACGTTTCTATTTAGTGCTATCCATAGGAGCTGTTCATTTTATTCAGTGTTAGACTATTGCCATACCAAAGTTCAGACTGCTCTAGGTTCCTGTAATCCTTTGAGCCCTACTTTTCTGGTTCCAGAGAAGCTATTTTAGGGGGGGCTTAGTTTGTGCTCTCATAAAATTTGCTTTTTCTCCAAGGAACCATCCTGTCTTCCAACAGCAAGTGATAGTTCAAAACCAAGATCTGGGTGTCAAGCGTACCTTTGCAGACACTTGCAAAAGAAGAAATTCTCCCATTTCAATTATTTTTCAAGTGTCACTAAAATTTTTTTAAAAACTAATGAAAAAAGTTTTCATGCCAACTCCAGGTTAATGATAATGGGTTCCAAGAGTTTTGCTAGTGGCTGTAGAGACTAAGTGTTAAAAAATATTAAATAGGAAGGTATTGTGTTGAAAATGATCAAAGTATGTTATGTACATGTATGAACTGGCCAAAACGAAACCACTGATCTATGTAACCAAGCTGAGCATGCACTCAGGAGTCCGAGGCAAGAGGATTTCCATGAGTTTGAGACTAGCCTGGGAAAAAAAAAGTAACCAAAACACTTCTTCCAGTGCTTCTTGGTGAGAAATTACTGTCACAGGTTATAAATGGTAAAGGAGAAAACTTTGTTCTAACACGTTAATCATTCAGGATAATATGGCTACTATACTTCTACCTTGACCAGAGGCATTTTAAAGAAAATCTTCTATATTTTGTGTTCTTTGTTATAGTAAGGAAGATAGTTTTTCTTTGCAATTTAGGATGCCAAACATACTAAATGCTTCTCATATTTATTTTTAGTGGAAATTTAATGGAGCCACCATTTCAGAGCCAGAAGAAGTTTGGGACAAACTTCACAAAGCTGGAAAAGAAAACAATCCGAGGAAAGAAATATGACTCAGACTCCGATGATGATTAGAGCACAATTACAGTTCTTTGTAAATTGTCCGTTTCTGTTTACTTCAGACTTAACGTGTTTCTAAAAATCTTTGATTTTAATACATTGATCCATCTAATGCTCATATCCCGGATTTTTATACGGTCCCTCGACCCTGGAAGGCATCATTATGATTTTCTGTGTGACCTTCAGGTTCAGGTTGAGGAAAACTTCTGAATTCTTAAATTACCTGGGAGGGGTCTAGCTGCTGTGTGGATGAGATTGGTTTTTATCATAGTGTGATTCTTACATCTTTATACCATACACAGTTGTGTTTTTAACCTACTGAGCTAGAAATAATAACCCAAGAGACTGTTCCAGGACTAGGCCTTACTCAGTGCTGTTTGCATCAAAGCCCAGTAACACTTACTGGTGTGGCACTCTGCCCTGGTAAATGAACATGACTGACACACTTCACTTGTGGAATTTATTTAAATAACTCTTACAGAACTGCTTATTCTGGATGCCGCCTGTTGGTGCAGAATCAACTGATGCAGCAGAAGGCTATTTCAGGTTGTAAACATATTGCCTTACTTCACGGGTCCTCATGACTTATGTTTTAAGACAGGCATTTAAAAGTAATCCGGAAACACTTGGAATGGCAGCATGAGGAAATCCACTGACTCAATAAAATAACCATAATTGGTTTTTAAAAAATTCTCTTATTTTTAAAGTTTAAGTTGGGTGTGGTGGTGCACTCCTATAATCCCAGCACTTAGGAGGCTGAGGCAGGAGAATTGTTTGCAAGTTCAAGACCAGCCTAGGCCACAAAGTGAGCCCAAGGCCAGCCTGAACTGCATAGCAATACCCTGTCTCAAAAAGACTAGAAAAAATAAAGTTTAAGTCTGTGGAAAGTGTTGCAAGGGAATACAGCAAATGTTTATTTAAGAAAATCTCAGGGCTGGGGTTGAGCTTGGTGGTAGAACACTTGCCTACCATGTGCAAGAGAGTCCTCAGTAAAAATAGTCTCTGGCTTAGGGGCTGGGGATTTAGCTCAGCGGCATAAGCGCCTGCCTTGCAAGTAGGCAGTCGTGAGTTCGATCCCTGGTACCGATAAAAAGGAAAAAGACAAAAAAAAAAAATAGTCTCTGGCTTTTGAACCATGACCCCATTCTATCTCTGCACCCACCCAGCTGTCTGCCACAAAAGCTCTAACCCTTTCTCTTCCCGGGCCCCCGTGTGGGACAGACCCATTCAGGAATAGCTTGCTGAGTGTGCAGGCCGCCAGTTGTCCTTCCCCGGAAAGTGGAAAAGGCGGAGAGACCATGGTATCAGTCCTAGGAAAGCAAGCTGCTATGCCATCCCATCTCTGGGTCAGGGGCACTGACATTCTGTCCAGGGGAGGCAGCAGGCCATCAGAACAGCTCAATATTAAAAATTTTAAATGGACTAACTCACTTTGTTTAGGGCAGAGTGGAGGAGGAAAAAGTTACATACGCAGTTCTTCCGAATACGATGAATACTGGCCATAGGGGAAGACAAGACAGCTCCATGACAGCAATAAGCAAAAGATCAGTGAGGGTTCAATACAAACAGCTGTGTAATGGAATCATAGGACAGGGGCTGGGGAGATGCTCAACAATCTACAAGTCTGAGGGCCATGGGGAGCCTTCGGCTCTGCTCCATGGTGTGCGGTCTCTCCTCCCAGTGTTGGGGAATCTGGGTTTTGTGTCTGCACCTGCATATGCCTACAACTTCTTAGTCCTTTGGGCAGTGGTGGAGGAGATAAGCCTTACAGGAAACAGTAATACATGTATGTATGTCTGAATTTAATTGGATCTAACTGCAGCAGAGACTGAGTTACAGCTCAGTAGCAGAGCCCTTGCTTAGCACTTGAGGCCACAGAACCACATTTAGAAATAATAAAATGCCCCAGAGCACTGTCAACAGTGCTAGAGCGCTAGGTAGCAGTAAGTGGATGCTTATGGCGAGACGTGATCACAGCAGAGGCAGGCTAACCAGAGGCTTCGAGAGTAGATTGGGAAAGATGGTCATTGTCGCTGGGGATGGAAGGGATGGAAGGGAGTGACTGTACCCTGAAAGGAACGTCAGGCTCCCTGCTTCTTAACTCTGTCCAGCCAAGTAGCTAAAGCAGACAAGCACCTTGCGAGAGAGTGGATTGAAAGGACAGTGCTCAAAAACAAGGAAATTATGCTGGAGGTAAAAGAAGGTATGGTGGAAATACTCTAGCAAGTAATATCAATAAAGAGAGGAAGTGCTTTCAAGAACCCGATGGAAATTCTGGAGTTAGAAGTACAACTGCAGTGAAAGATGGATTACAGGAACTGAACAGTAGATAAGTCTGCAGGAGAAAGAATGAGCAAACTATCAGCAAATGTAGATACTTACACAAACGAAGCTGTCAAAAAAAACAGAAAAATGAACGAAAAGCATCCCAAAATAAATACAGATCACACATGATGGGTGTTCAAAGAAGAAAGAAATTAGGGCTGGAGTGTAGCATGGTGCTAGGGTGCTGGCCTGGCATGCCAAAGGCTCAGGGATGATTCCTCAACACTGGAAGGAAGAAATAATGCCTGGAAATCCCAAATTCAATTTAACCATTAATCCAAGGTCAGCTAGTTCTAAAAAGGTAATAAAAATCCATACATAACCAGGTACAGCAAAAGTGATAAAATACAGAGACCAAATCTTGAGAACAGAAAAAATGACAATGTACAAGAAAGCCCCACTAACAGGTTTCCACAGGCTTTAACCCACTGTTGACACAAAGGGATCTAGTCACTTTTATCATTCTTTGACCAATAAGAGTAATGGAATATGTATGAATTAAGTCTAATTAGGTGCTCAAATTTGAATAATTATTGCTCAAATATCAATACCCATACTAGGTAAAATTACAATCAGCAAATTTATTTCATTAAATAAATTTATATTTGTGAGTTTCTTTAAAACACATAGCTGGCTGATTTGTTTGGAGTGTCATAACAGGTTTGGCTATTGTAAAAGCACAGCAGCACCATTGTTTCAGGTAAATTTTTGGTAACACTCTCTACATAACTTATGGATTAAAAACTGACAGTCAACTTAATGCCAGCTGCACTAAATCAGCAATGGTGCTGAGTGTAGATGTTCCAGCTGAGGAAAGTTGCCAGCATAAATGGATACGTGGAGAAGGAGAAGGTAGGCATTGTGGGTTTTTGTTTGACCCAGTTGGGTCTCCTGGAGGAGCTTGTCTGCTGGTTTCCCCAGTGTAAATTTGACTGTTGTCATCGGAGGAGCTCGGGATCTTGTTGGTGAGAGTGGCTGTGGTTCATTTTGGGGGAGCTCTGGTCCTTACATGGAGCACTGCTTCCTGGCTCTGGAGGGGAAGATGTGTGCCATTTAATCTCCAGGACAAACTCATCATGCTGGCTTCCTGGCATGTACTTGATTGTTCTTATTTGTCAGAGGAGCTCAGGGCCTCCATGTCACTGAGGATGGCTGTGGTGCTTTTAAGGGCAGTCCTGGTCTCACTTTCAGTGTGACTTCTCAGCTCCAGCGTAGAACTCTAAGCCTACCAGCACAGCTCCTTCACCCCACTGGCATAGACTTTCTAGCTTCCACTGCTGATCTTTGGGTCTTCCCAGCACAGATCCATAAAACAGGCTGGCATGAGTCCTTCTCGTGGGCTCTAGACTGCCAGTTGGACTCCTGGGAAGCATTGTCAGGGGCTCTAGGACTTTATCTGGACTCATAGGACATTAATATGGGATTAAGGCCCTTTACTGAATATTCTATGTCTTTAGTGTTGTGCACAGATTTCCTGCACTTTCTTATGTTAACTCTGGGTGACCATCATATTAATAATAATATAAATTTTGTGTCCTGATTCTGTTTTTCTCACAAGCCCTTGACTACAACAATCACTCACTTACATTCTGCCATTCCTAAAGAAGCTTCTATAAACTGTTTTTCAAGTAATTTGCACCTTTGGCATTTCTTCATGGGTTAATAGTTTATCAGTAATTCTCCGGGTTTTAACATGGAGATCTTACAAGTGTCCCATTGCTGGTGTATCTAATATGCATTTGCAACTGCTGCACCACAAATAAGCTGCGTTATAATTGTCTTACCATTTGTCATTTTCCTGAAGGAACTTTAATAGAATGGTGTCTGGTTTGCTCAATCAAAAACAAGATAGGTTTTATGTTACTAAGTTTTCTTTCAATCAATATACATGAACAATTTTTACAAGTCATTCATATACCAATGGTTCTTGTATCAGTCCATTTAACAAATGTTATTGTCTTAGTTCCTTTTTACTTGTCACTGAGACAAAATACCTGAAGCCCAAAGTTGGGAAAGGAAAGGTTTATTTCTTACAGTTTTTGGAGGTTTCAGTCCACACTCAGTTGGCTCCAAGACAGGTGGGCATGGCTGGGCCACAGTTCATGGCAGCCGCAAACAGCAAACTGGAACCAGCAAAGAGCAAGACACACCTTCTTCCTGCCATTGCATCACATCCTGGCTGTACCCCTATGCGGGTGTAGCACTAACACCATCAATCCAAGCACTATACAATGAACCAATCACAAATACACAATGCAAACTCATGAGGCCTGAGGGACACAGACATAAACCATGACATTCCACCCCTGGCCCCCAGGACTCATGTACATCCCTTATACAAAAGACATTTAGTCCACCTCCAAAAGTTACCAAAGTCCTAACAGTTTCAGCATTGCTGAATAGTCCAAGTCCCAAGTCTCCTCCAAGATCTATGGCAAACTCTTAACGGTAACCCTCTGTACAAATGAAACAAGGTTAAACATTTCTCAAATGCAAAGGCACAAAATAAACATTACCATTCCAAAAGTTACAAACGGGAATATGAAGCATTGGAAACAAAGCAAATCCAACATCCAGCAGGGCAAACATTAAGTCCTAGAGTTCCACACTCAGCATCTGAAGCAATCTGGTTTGCAAGCTCCAAAAGGCTTGGGTGATTCCACCCCCAGGGCACTTCCAGCGATTTCAACTCCAGCAGCTTTTCTCTTAAATCTTCTCTGCTCGCTTTTTGCAGCTTCCCTTGGATCAACCATATTCCTGGCTTTTCCAAACTTCTGGGGTCTCCACTGCACCTTTGGCTTCACCTTTACATCTTCACAAATTGCCCTCTCAGGGGCACACTGCTTGGCCTCCCAGACCCTTTGCAATCGAGGTGGAAGCTGTCTTACCCTCAGAATTCGTGTATTTTCCTTGCACCTAAAATCAGCACCTTGTGGATGCTGCCAAAGTCTGCTGCCAGCTGAAGCAGTAGCCAGGCTTTTCTCTCTCTTGGCTGTAGGGGTCAGGTGCCTGGATCACAGGGCTGTTTGCCTGATTGTAAGAAAAAGCTTCTCTACATTGCCGCCATTTTGCAACCTCATGTGGCTGCTGTCACCATTCTGGAACATGATGCTCTGCAGCTTTTCCTTCTGAGCAAATTTTTTCACCTTTGTTGTGAGGCTGCACAGGGTGGGGACCCGCTTCCTGGGATGCCCCGAGGCCATCTTTCTTATTTCTCTGTTTCCCATCAACAATCAAAATCTCAACTCTGTCTTTACAATCCACAGCCTTCCTGGAATTTTCCTTCTGGCCAAAGTCACAGCATTTTAAATTATCCTGCTGGGCTCTTTGCTCTTGATTTGAAACATATAGTTGGAGGAAAGCCC